CTGTCATGTTAAACTTATATTAAAGTTTTTCTTCATTACCCATTTAAGCCGTCTACAGACGTAATTGTTTCCACGGAAGCTAATGAAGTGTTGATCAGTAGCAAACTATTTGCGCGAGAGTGTCAACTTAATTTAATATATTTACACTCATCGTCCCAGTAGTTGTTTACAGATTACAATAGTTTAGTTATTATTAAAATTTAAAAATATTTATAACTTATATTTATCAGTTTAGCGTGTGTAAAATATGCCCTTTTTTGTTATTTAAAATTACCTATAATAAATTATTATTTAATCACTAAATATTCGTTAGATGTCGCACGAAGGCTTAAATTTTAGAGAATGATCGTTGTACAACAATTTGTGTATTTAGTATAGTGAGAATTAGCTGGAGAATATAGGAGAAAGAAAACAACCGTAAACATATGTTTAGTTTCATAACATCTTATTTGTTGTGAGTTGTAAATGTTTTGAAGTCAATAGTGATTAATGCTAATAATAATACTTAGCCAATACTATATTAATACTATTATTATTAGCATTAGTAATAATACTAATAGTGTTTCAAAATCAAAACAATTATAATATATCACACAACACCTAATGCTAGTGTTACTACTAGTACTATAAATGTATTTGTAACTTGTAAGACACGGTGTGCAGTCTTCACACAACTAGTGCTGCATTATATTGTATTTATATTTTATAGTACATATAATTTATATGAATCTCGTGCAATGGGTTAACAAAAATATGACAAAACTTAGAAAGGCCTAGTTGAATTCAAGTATTGAGAAACTAATATTATTCATCAGAGCCTTTGGCCTGTCAACTTCAAGGGTCATATGAAAAGTATTTGTGTTGGTTATTGCACAATCATGAGCAGTGACACATTTATAAATCACATTGTTGATTGGACATCAGACATGACTGTGATTTTTTCATTCCATATTCATAGTTAGATACAGTGTTGCTTCCATTATTTTATTATATTATACAATATTAGTATATAAGTTATATATATTATACATATATTCTACAAATAATAGTAAAGTTATTTCAAATAAAATCATAATAATAAGTAATTGGTGTTAAAAATGAATGAACAATATTGTGGTATTAATCCTTGTCCTAATTATGCCTTGTAAATAGTATAAAACTTGCAATTTATTTATTTAATATGGTTCACTCTTTAACAGTTATTGTTCTTGAAACTGATCATATAAATAGTACCTCAACCACTACTATATCCCTTCTATCCCAGCCAGCCTGATTTGGCCTGGTATTGGGTGAAATACCACATTGGTACTGGATATGGTAGCTGTACTGTGGTTGAGATATTCTTCTTTGCTTTCCCTTATAAGTTCTTAGCAATATATACAGTGTTACTAGTACTACCAACTTATGAAATAATATTAACTCAAAGATTGAATATTTAACAGTTAAATTTTGACTAGTACAATTTAATGTGTGACTTCAATATTAATACTTGGTTTTGAAATGCTTCTTGAAAGTACATATTTACTCTACGTTGTCCAGGATTTTTTTTTCATGTATAGAGAGATACCTGTAAGCATGAGGTTGTAGTTTTATTGCTTATTATAGCTGATTTCACATCTTTTCAATATGTTTTAGCATGTCACTCTAACTCAAAGGACAACAACACCTAGACACAGATTTCTTCACAGAAAGATGAGCAAAGACAAACCTGTTGCAAGTATGTATATTTTCTCAGACTTGTCTATTTTTAAGGTCTAGTTACAGGACTAAACCCAAGTTATAAAAAATAAAAGTAATATTTCTCTTCTTTTTTTAAGCATCATACAGTGATAAAAATTAGCAATTTCTCTAAACTTTTAAGTGTGCAAAGTTATAAATAGTATGACAAAAGTTGTTTGACAATTTTTTATAATTAAATCCATATATTAAAGACACAGTTGTGCCAGTTAAAAAGATAAGGATAATGTTGAACTTTTAAAGGTAAAAAAAAAAATCTCTCTGACTGAAAATAACATGGCTAAATTTTATTAGATTTCTTTTCTTCTTTTGATGAAGAGACAAGATTTTTAACTAGATTCACTTGTTTACAAATTAAGAAAAATACTTGACTTTTATTATTATTGAAGAAAACTTTTTTGAACACAGTTGGAAGCCCAAGAAAATGAGGATTTTGACTATGTTCGATATATCCTAATGTATCTTAACACTTAAAAAAAGTTAATAAGGAATTCTAATCACTGTCACAGATATCATTGGACACTGAAGATTATTTCTAATGTTACATAATTGCAAATGTGACCTGCATTTTGAAAAAGAAGACAAGGAAAGTTCTGGGAAATAGTTTGGCTATTAGTTTGACTTCTTTTGTAATTAAAGTGTTGAAGTCTATTGTCGAAGTTAATTTGAAAAAAGATTTTAAAACTCGATATTTATCAAATAATGCTCATCTTGGTTTCAGAATGGTTTTCTTCCATTAAAAAATTATTACAGTTTTTTATTAGAATCCTACTTTTATGCTGAGAGATCCTTGGTTAATGCTGTTTATCTTAACTTTCTAAAATCTAAGCCTGTGAAAAGGTTTCTTATAAAAGGTTAATTAGTAAGATAAGAAATGGGTTATGGCAAACTGCACATAGTAATTGAAAAACTTTGGAAGTCCACAGATACTCTTAAAAAATAGAATATTTAGGTTAAGGCTGTCTCTATGGAGGTTTATATTTATACAGAAGAACCTGGATAGTACTGATGTTATTATGTTAGTTAAATATGTGTATGTGTGTGAAATGAAAAACTTTTTTTTTAAACTTGAGTTTATAATTTCCCTTTTAAAGTAAAATATATTCAATATTACTTTACATGAAAAACGTGTGTGTGTTGTGGAAAATTGCATAGAAAATGTGTAAATTGTGTATGAAAATCTGTTTAATAAAATAGGGGTACAAATTACCATTGTTTAAGTTCATAATTGTTATGTGTAAGAACCTTAACACTAAAGACTCGGCAAACAACCCAAACTCTGAACCACTTATTGTTTTTGATGAATTTTATAAAAGATAAAAAAAAAAAATTCGGTCATACTCAATTTGCCCAAGGAGTTTTGAGTTTTTTTTCAAATAAATTTTTCATAAATGTCCTTTAAGTACATTAAATTTGCCAAAATCTGAATAGACTAAAAGGAGAATGCTTTTACATTTTATTATAACCTCGCCTAATATCTGTTTGGAATACCTTTTATCACAGTAATAGCCTAGACTCAGCATGGCATATACTCCACAAGATCTGGAAGTTGAGGCACATTCATTGAGAGATTTAGTCTTTAACTGGTTCAAGATGGAGAAGATTGAATGTTGAATTTTACATTTAATTTTAAAGATGATCACTCATATTGAGATGATGTAATAGTGCTGCTAGATAAAGAAGGAAATTGGAATTACTGTTTTACTTTTCAAACTAACTTTAGACAATATGAGAATATATCATCTTGGAAGAGCTCTTGTATGTCAGGATGGAAAACTGGTATTGTGTAGTGAATGTGAATGATAACAGTGTTTAAATGCACCTTAGATGATATTTGCCCTTGTAAAAGAATCGAATGAGCCACACAATATCTAGAAGCTTGCATTTTTGTATGATGAAGTGCATCATTGAATTTTATTTTTACTTTCAATTAATAAGGTGATGAATTTTGATTCATCAAATCAGATCACATACCTCTAGTTATACAATGTCCATTGCTTGCTGACTCAGTCTTGCTTTTATGCTAACATTTGTAATAAGCAATTTGTGGACTGTTTGTTCATTTGCCATGTAATTTTTTTGTAACATACCCTCTCCACATGGGTCTTGGGGTCAAAGGCCGTGCCATCGTGTTTGTTGGTTTGGATTCAAAACTTCATTGAACTATTATTTTATGAATGTATGTCAGTAAGTTTGGTATCAAATTGTAGACTATAATTCAAATTTTAGTATTATAGATTATGTAATTTCTTGATATAAAAGTAAATATCAAACGAATACACCTAAACATCAATTTTTGTGTGTCACGGGTATGTTGAATGCAGCACTAGTTCAGATTAGATGTTTGTGATGTCCAAATACAAAGTCAATAGTTTCTTACAAATTCGAAACTCAAATACTGATATTGACAAGCTA